GGATGAATAAATGAAGAGAAGATCCGAGTAGGGGGATGCTTCCTACCTGACCTAACAGCGCTCTTGGTGAAGGCAGGTCAAGGAAATAATCTGTCACCCGTCAGGCTCTGGTGCTGGGAGCCCCGCAGAAAGCAGAACAGAGGTCCCTGATTGTGCAGCTCACAAATGTGCACACAAAGTGTGTGGGGGGTGTTTTTTTTTTTTTTTTATAGGCTAGGCAGTGGACGATGATCAGGAATGCTGCGACCCCGGGCCAGTTGCTGACCGGCCAAAGTGCCCCAGAATATTGCAGTGGACGATGATCAGGAATGCTGCGACCCCGGGCCAGTTGCTGACCGGCCAAAGTGCCCCAGAATATTCATCTTTGTTCAGACATTAAGTTTTTTTTTTTTGGTATGTTGAGAAAGGGAAATCAGAATAGGGGAAGAGAGGAAGTGCCGCAAAGGGAAAAGGGAAGCATGACAACTTCTAGGGCAGAAATCCCTCTTCCCCCAAAGAAGGAAGATAGCACCTCAGAACCTGGCTCTGGCAGCCAGTGCAGAAGGGGGTGCAGACTTCTTTGGAGGGGGCCTGCTGAGCTGCTCTGAACACCTGGAAGAGTATACAAACTTCCAGTGCCCAGATGACAGGCCTAGTGCCGTTTTCCACACAGTGTTGACCGAGGTGTGCCAGGGGAGCTGCCGCTTGGGGCAGGGAAGGACAGGGGCAGCCGCCAGTGTCCAGGGCAGGTCCTGTGGGGGGGGGGGGGGGCTCTGGCTCACTGCCCCCAACAGCTGCGCTCCCAGCACTGCATGGACATGGCAGACACGAGGACCTCCAGAGAGAGGCGAGGGCTCACAGACAGGAGGGATGTCCACTCACGCGCGCAGGAAGATGGTCGGCAGGTCAGAGAACAGAAACCAACGCGTATGTGACAGATGTGAGTGACAAAGGAATCTGGTTGTGTGTGGAACTTTGTTAGCTCGAGATTCTCAGGTTTTTTCCATCCTGTACTTGTCTACTCCTGCTCCCCTGTGCATCGTCTTTTTAGATGATATTAAATAACCACTGGCCACTTTTTTTTTTTTTTTGCCTTTTATGCTTCTCTTTTCCAAATGCATGGGGACAGACTTTCCGGGGAGATGAGGATAACACGGAAGTCGGTAAAGGGCTACCGGAGTGGAACTGCTTCATTTTCCAGACAGGTAATCTAGTGGTTCCTCATACAGAAAGGATTAATTCACATGGAAATGCTGATAATCCCCCTCACCTTTCAGGTAAAAAAGATTAAAATCAAAGCAGAAAGGCTTTAGGCTATCAAAATGGGTATAAATCTCTGCCAATATTAAGTTAAATATTGCATGACATTGGATTTAATTTTCACCACCATCTATTTAGGCTTAACTCACCTCATAGTTAACCAGCACATGTAGCATTTGAGTTAAATGTTAATTCTTCTCCCCCTTGGTTTAAAAAGGGTAATAAAAATGGGGGAGTGGGTAAAGAAGCAGCAATAGATCCTGGCAGTAGTCGTATAAACTGAGCTGTAAACCCCCTGAATTCTCAATTGCCAGCCTGAAAACGAACCCTTGGACGGTCAATGATCAGCCTGCAAGATCAGACAATGCCCCTCAGGGCCTCCCACAGAGGCTCACCGAAGGTCAGCGCAAGGATTCCTTTCTGATTAAGAATCAGGTTCTGCCAGGACAAGTCACTACCGAGATCTGGGTTTGGAGAAGCTTCGACACTGAGGATGAACGGTCCTTATAGGGCATCCTCACACCAGTGCACGGTGCTCCCTAAAACAAAAGGGTGGTGCTTCCAGATATTCCCTTTCCAGTCAAGAAGGAAAAAAGGAGGAGGGAACACTTGAGAAACTGTGCCAGAAACCCCGCTAAGCCTGTCCCCATGCACTATCATGGTTCCCCCAAATTCCTCACGAAGCAGATTTACTACCTTCCCATCTGAAGTTGTGGACATATAAAGAGAAAGAAAACTTTCCCATCTCAGGGTCACCAGTTATTAGTGGTAGAGCTGAGATTCTATTCAAATCTAATTTGAGAGTATTACTGTTACTGTCCCAATATAGCCAACTGTTATTAATAGGAATTATTAAACATTTTTTAACAATCACAATCTCCATCAGCTTTATCTCCCTTGTTATTAACTAAATACACTTACTCAGCCTTCAGTATCAGTCTTGACACATGGCACTTGACACAGTCATAATTATATCCCTGACTTATAATGAACCAGCAATCAATTAAAAAAACAAAAAAAACCCACACAGTATTTCTAATCATGTCCTGCACAATTAACTTTGGAACGCATGGGTGGCAACCTACATCCACTTGATCTCTTTGCTATTGGCCAGTTGATGCAAGTGCCAAGAGGTTTCAAAATCCCAGGGTTGCCATTCAAAAGAATAACTACGGTGAAGTTTATGTTATCCACAAATTTAATACTAGGAAAGCAATAATTAGAAAAAGATGACAGACCCAGCGCCACTCCCAGAATTTAGCAGCTGCCATGGAGAAGGCTCTCCAAGCTCCTGCTAATCCACCAGTGCAAAACACAACAGCTTCAAATCCACCCATTACTCACGTCCAATTCTGCTTTCTTGTCTACAGGACGTTACATAATTTTCTAAATGCCTCAGTGAATTTCAAACACCAGTCAGTTTTGTAACCTTATTACGAATGAAACCAGGTTCGTATTGTCCGACTCGTTCTGTTCCTCTCTGTGTGGTTTTCCATGAGCTCAGTGTGATGTGTTTTTGACATGTCAACTCAGCTGGGTCAACGCCGCATGGTAACCAAACACCCACTGATCTAGGTGTTGTTGTGAAGGTATTTTGCAGCTGTGATTAAAGACTATACTCAGGTGACTTTAAGTGAAGGCGCTTATCCTCCATAATGTAGGTCTGATTCAATCCGCTGAAAAGGTTTCTAGCAGAGCTGAGGCCTCCCTGAAGGAGAAATGCCACCGGTGGACGGCAGCTCCGGCCTGTGCCTGCCCTAGCAGATGGCCCGCCTCAGTGACTTCAGACTCACCTCGCGGGCCCCACCATCTCGTGAGCCTGTTCCTTGCAGTAAATCTCTTCTTTCCCACTGGTTCTGCTTCTCTGGTTAAAACTTGACAGGTACCTTCCCAAATCACCAATACTTCACAAAGACAAAATACCTAGGAATAACTTTAACAGGAAATATATGGTTCCTAAAAACCTCAGAGAGATAGATTTATAGGTTTACACCTAGGCCTAGTCAAACATGCAGCTGGACTAGTGCTCAGATCACGACAGAATAATCTTAAAATTCCTCCAGAAGAGTAAAAGGAGAGAGAGAACAATTTGGAAAATACAAATTTCTAACACTGACTGAGTGTTATTCTGTGCTGCGCTCTTCACTAGGAACCACCTAGGAAGACAACTGGCAGGTAATTCAAGGAAAGAACGCATTGGGAGGGTGGGTCAGGACCAGGCGTATTTTGTACGCAGGCTCTTCCATTTTGAATGCATCTCAGCCAAGCAGGATTACCTAGGAGCTCCCGTTTTCTTCTTCATGCTCATTGATGTTGCAATGCAAGGATAAATCGGGGGATAAGGATAGAAGGTGTAAAACTAAAGAAAAGGACCAAGCGGTTCAGAAGAAAACAGGGGGCTTTGTCAAGTTCTGCTAGGTCTTGTGAGCCTCACTCAGAATATGACTATTATTACAGTCACACAGCAACAGCATTTAGTATAATGCATATGCGGATGACACTTGCTTCTCTGTATTTGGAGTAAATTAAGCAATTTGTGTTTTTAAATTTAGTAAACTGGAGGTAGGAAAGTCCTTCCCACCACCTCAGGCTCACCCAGGAACACGGAGCAGGGTAACAGTGCCGTAAACAACTGCCACTGTTGCGTTCCAATTCAGTCTCCAAACGTTTGCTCAGTTCGGTGCAGACCCAGGCTTGCAACTCACATGAACAATTTTTGGGTGGTGTTTTGCTCCGGTCCAAAAATGTGAAAACTGATGTGGTTGACACAGATACCTTTCAATTTCAAAGTGGGTTTATCTTTTTTTTTTTAAAAAAGAAAATAACCCTCACAGCTTTACTAAATGGATATATATTTAATACTAGAATAAAGGTCGTTGACTTCATCCTTCAGTGTGACTGGTGCTCTGTAGCATTAATATCAGGATGCAGCTGTTGTTCAAAGAAACATAAGCATGATGCAATCAATGCCCAGTCAATAATAAAATTTTTACATATTTTCTTATCATAATGTGGTATAGATTGGATGCCAGCAATGAGGTAATCTAATGAGTAATTAGAAATACACTCAATATTGTATAGTTTGAGAATCTGTGTCCCCAGAACATGGCATAATTAGTTCAGAGCCCTTTTTTTGGCTGCCAGCATATCCCCGCTAGAGTTTTTGGGTCTGGGAATTTTCAGCATAATGGATTGTGCAGTTGAAAAGCTTTTATGTTTGAAGATGCGGCTAGTCTAATACAGCTGTTGCAAGAGAATAACATTTAAAACAAGCCATCTCCGGAATCTGCAACTATGCTTGCGATCATGATGTATGAGGCTTCAGGAAGCACAATCAGGCTCTTCCTGTGCGTGTGGCTCGGAGCTGTGACTACCTGCTGACCTGGTAAATTCTGACTGATATCCTATCACTTGCCTGGGACAGTTTACACCGTTACACCTGGACACTCACAATGCTTCACAGACCGAAGGGCCAGCTTCTCCTTAACACCCTTCACCTGCAGTATTCATAGGATATTTTCACTCATATGCAAAAAATATGGTTAACCTCAATTTACACAGAAAATGCTAAAAGCCAACAAGTAGCTTCATTCAATTTTTCTTCATATCATGGAACAATACTGAAAGGAAAAAAATCATATGAACTGAGATGATGTGGTTGAATAGAAGAAGGTTTCTTGGGAAATCAATTAGAAGACTAAAATAATTGCTTTTTAATGGAACTTTCTGGAATAATTACCTGTGTTTGAAAGATAACTTACCAGTAATACCATTGGATTCCTGCTGTAGGTCACAGTACCAGAGTCGGTTTACTGGGTCACACCCCTCCCTTATCGATAGTAAGACGTAGCGACCATCGTCGGATAACTACAAAGGAAATAAAAATGGCACAGGGGCTGGTTAGGATATATTTTTGGTGAGAGCATCGTTAAGTAAAAGGTAAAGGTTAACCTCATATACAGTATCTGTACCCCAAACAGATGATTGGATAAAGTTTAAAAAAAAAGTTGTCAAAATAATGTTCTCAATTTTAACTTATTTCACTCTTCGTTTACTTATATTTATCCATAAAACAGTGAAGTATTTAAGTAGAAAATTCATCAGAAATAATTAAATGTCATGACTCAGTGTGATTTTTATTTCAAGTCTATTTGTCACTGAAAAGATATGCAATCTGTCATTTTGAATATTAATATTCCTGACTTTGAAGTTGTGTCATGGGTTACGTATTTTAAAAGAATTTCACTTGTGGCTCACACTGGTCACATTAACAAGTGTCTGTTGAGCAGCTCTGTATGCATATCTTCAGTCATTGCTACCACAAGGTGTCAGGGGACAAAGGCCTGTGCTTCTGTGGATTTCTTTTATAGTATTTAACAGAAGAATCTTCAGTAGCAAAAAGAAGCTCTGATAAAAAGCTAATGCAACAAACTATATATTATGGTTTTGAGTTGCCAAAATTGATGAAGTGGAATCTAAATCCACTAATTTTTTTCATTCAACATAATTTAAAAAATTAATCCATGCTGATATATATATATACATTTACTTAACTGCTATACAGTACTCCAATCTGGAAATATACCACAATTAATTGCCACAACTGATAAACATTTAGATTATTTCTATTTCCTTTCTATTACAAGCAATACTTTAGACAAATTCTTGAACTTGTGTATTTGTGGCCTTGTAAGTGCTTCCCGGGGTTTGTAACTAGAAGTAAAATTGTAAAATTTCTCACTGGTAGGCTATGTACATACTCAACTTTATTAGATATTGCCAAATTATTTTAAGAGATTGTACTAATTTATACTCTTATATTTCAGCAGTGTGACAGTTCCTGTTTTTCCACCTCCTACAATGATGATTAGTTTTGTGTGTCTTGGCTAGGTCACCGTACCTAGATATTTGGTCAAAGATTATTCTGGATGTTTCTGTGAAGGTGTTTTTTGAATGAGATTAACATTTAAATTGGTGGGCTCTGAGTAAGGCAGATTGCCCTCCATGAGGCGGGTGAGCCTCATCCAATCAGCTGACGGCCTTAATAGAAAAACACTGCTATTGTTTGCCCTTCCCAAGCAAGAAGGCATTTTGCCAACAGACTGCCTTTGGACTCAAACTGACACTAAGGGGTTCCAGCCTGATAGCCTGCCCTGAAGACTTTAGACTTGTCAAGCTTGCATAATCACATTAGCCAATTCTTTAAAAATAAACCTTTTCATTCATTTGTTCAACCAAGAAATATTTGCTTGGTGGCTATCAGGTACAAGACATTTTTCTAGGTGTTAAAGTGACATCCGTAAACAAATTAGGGAAAAACGTCACATTCCAGTGGAGGAGACAAACACACAACTATGAACTATGTAGTGTATGATAAAATGATAGATGCCATGGAGCTCACGAACAGGTCTGGGCAAGGGAGACAGGATGTGTGTGGAGGGACAATGGTTTTAAATACAAAAGTCGAGGTAAGCCTCATTAAGAAGGCATTTTACCATTATCTTTGGACTCATACTGTCATCTTTTTCTCTATGTAACTTCTCTGGCTGCTTTTAAGGTTTTCGTACTATCTTTGGTTTCCTGAGAATTGGTTATAATGGGCTTTGCTGAAATAGCCTGTTTGAGACTTGTTGAGCACCTTAGATCTGTAGATTTGCCTATTTTATTAAATTCATAACATTTATGGCCATTTTTTCCTCATTAATATTTTTTGTGTCTCCTCGCCCCTACTGTAGGACTTCAAATACACAGTGTTAGATCACTTGGTAAATGGTCCCACGGGTCAGTAAGACTGTTCATTTGCTTTCAATTTTTTTTGTCTTTGTGGTTTATAGTTTCAATAGTCCTGTCTTCAAATTCACTGATATTTCCTTTTATAGCATCTGAAGTGATGTTAAGCCCACACAGCAAATTTTTCAGTTCAGATAGTTTATTTTTCCACCTCTAGAAGAATATTTGGTTTGTCTTTATATTATCTATTTCTTTATTCATTACATTAATGTTTCCTAAAAGCCTTTCAAAACTATTTTCATAATAGCTTTTAAAAAGTCCTTGTTTGCTAAGTCAACTACCTGCCATTTCTGAATCTGTTTTATTGACTAATTTTACTCCTGGTTATAAGCCACATTTTTCTGCTGCTTTACACATATAGTAATTTTTAATTGGATTCTGAAGATTTGGCGTGCAGTCTGGGTTTTGTTTTTGGTGTTTTATGGGGTATTTTTTAGGTCTTCTTTTAAAAAGTTATGAGGCAGTTAATTTGATCCACTCGATCCACTTACGGCTTGTCTTCAAGCTCTGCTGGGTCAAGTCCACAGCCCTCCAGCTACGGCCTGGACTCTCTGGGGTCTTGCTGAATACCCTGGGTGTTCACAAAGTCTTTCCACTTTGGTCGGAATGTGAAAAATCTCCCAGATTTGTTAAACCTTGGTAATTGTTGGCTTACAGCTCCCTGGTAGTCGGCTTGAATTATGGGGTCTCACCCTATGCACACACTGTGTAATAGTCACCCAGACACGAGGGGACACAAAGGCAGATCTCTGGGACTCTGAGTGGGCAGTGCCCCTACTTTTGACACTCTGCCTATAAATTCCAGTGGCTTCAGTTGTCCTGAACTCCAATCTCTGGATCCTAGTTCAGTGAGACTGCAATGCTCTGTGGGCTCGCCTCCGTGTGCCAGGCTCCAGAAAATGCCTCCAGGCAGGAAGCTGGAGTAACCCCAGGACTCGACTTTTTCAGACGACAGTCCTGCAATGCCTATTGACCAATATCTAAAAACAGTTGCTTTCATATAACTTTGCATACTTTTCTAGCTGTTTATGGCGGGTGGGCTAGGCCAGTATCAGTTATACATCATGGTTAGAAATAAATTTTGTCATTATATATATATATATATTATTTTAACTCACTTTTAATTCTTAGTTAGATAATTACATTTTTAGGGTATACCATTGTGTTCACTTTAAAAAAAAGCATAGACTTAAGAATAAAGAGTGTAATTAATATCAGACTAAAAATAAGGCATATGATTAATAAAAAACATAACAATGCTGTATACTTCCTTCTGTTTCACTGCATGGCGGGATATTTTCACTGTTCTGCTCCCTATTTCACTAATACTTCTATGAACTCCTGCAGCCCTTGGGACTTGCTTCTTTTATGCAGGGGTAAAACCGCTAAACGTAACGCGCTTGAGCTGCTGTATGGCTTTCATCGAGCTGACACACACCGATTCCTGGCATCAGTGCAATGGGATGATATCAAGCTAAATGTCATCTCAGCAAGAGTGTTCGAGCATGGACTGCTTAAGGGTTTTACTTACTAGCAGCAGCAAATTTTTAGACTTGAAGGAATCAGATTCCAGCTTTCCAAAAACATCCATCCACTTTCTAGCTACAGGTTCATTTAGCTAGACCAGCTGTCTGTCAGTCAGGTTCTCTGCATTTATAAATCACGCATGTATAAAACGTCTAGCATTTTCAAACACTTGGCAGCAGATTGGATGTTAAAAGTTAAACATCTCTTTCTCAGATAAAACTGTTTTAAAGCACATGGGTAACTGAGACATCAGCAGGATTCCGAGGAAGTGAACAGTTTTCTACAAGATTCTAGGAAGTCTGGTTTAATTTGCCTGCTCTTTCTTGTTGCTATTTTTTAAGTTCTGAAGCAGTCTCCCTTCCCCAAAATGAATCATACTTTGCTTTCTGAGCTTTTGTCACAAACTACACATAATACTGAATGACTCATGTGCATTCTCTTCATCTTTTTTCTAGGCTCCTTATAGTCTTTTTAAAGATGTCAGACAGTTTTGAGAAACCTGATTTCTGATTTCAATTATTTTCTCCATTCTCATCCTCAATGCATATCCAAATTACCTCTCATCGAAAAGACCTTTAAGTGGGTCTCTTGCATATGAACATACACCTTCACTGGGTTTTAGAAACTCTATCTAAGAATCTGTATTCTGTTTTCAGTTACAGCTGATGTATTTGGCTTCCAGACTCTTGACTATTCTATTTACCTTGCTTTCCCCCTTTCCTCTTTGCACTGCATTCATGTAAATTTCTTTATAAACCTTTTCCTTTCTTTGAATACTTGGGAAATCACAAATATTTTATTTCTAGTCTTTCAGAGGTTTTCCTTAAGCTTTTCATCTAGACAACTAATAAACCAATGTCTGGAATTTTAGTTCCTCCTCATTTTTAAACTGTCCTATATTAAGAATATCAGCAGCAACTTCACAATCATAACTTAATTGAATGTAAGGGAAAGCAGCCTCATTAATAATATTTCATACTTTTGTTCTCTTGTTCTTTAAATGAAGGCAGAGTCTTTCCAGCTTAGGGCTTAAAGTCACATCAATCACAAATGACAGTTAGTTCGGCTGTCGTGACTCAGCCAACAGAAAGATAGGGCAGGAAAACCCACTGCGCGAGCCACACCAAACCTGCGCTGACAGCTGTCCCAAGCACATAGAATGAGTTTTCCTCAGCATTTCTGGCTGGACTAAATAGTTGCTGCGGTTTATGTTTAATCCAAGGCAGGAAGTCCCAAGGTACGTGGCTGTGGAGTGCCATTAAGTCAGTCTTTTCCACTATAACTCTCTTTGTCACAATTCAGGGAGATCCCACAGCCACTAAGCAAAGCTAAACAACTCTAAGCTGTCAAGTGCTCAAAGTCTCATATTTCAAAGTCATTTCTAAGTTACTGTTGCCCCAAAATATACAAATTAGAAATACACTTTCTTCCACTAAACTTCAATCAGTAACAATGTGTATTTAACCACAGCCTCACATTCAGACTACTTCAAGGCAATTTTTTAAATAAATTTTGTTAATCATTGGGGGTGGGGGAGAGACAAAAATGTT